GTAAATTAATTTTTTTAACTTTTATTTCCTTTTAAGCTGACTCTGCTTTTAACGTTAAATCGTATAAATTTTAAAAGGTAAATATTTAAAGGGTTATTTATTTGAATTTGATTGTTTTTACGGAAAGAAGATTTAAAAATTCTATATGACCCTGAAACAAGGTTGCTCATTGATTAACGAGTGCATAAAATTGTGAAATGAATTCAAATCATCTTATTTAAAACGAGCATTGCTTTTATTATTCAATAAAAATAGATAACATTATAAAGTAAAATAAACTTTATTGATCGGAAAGTCAGCTTTTGACATTTAATTCGTCGCAACTTCAACTCCTTTTATCTCAACTTTTGAAGAAATATTTCATTTAACTTTATCGCAAGAACATACACATAGAAAATATTGAAAAGGAGTTATAGGAAATCTCGAACAATCTGACTAAGGTAATCAATGTTAAGACCTTCTGTAATCTGACAAACAATATAATTTTTTTTTTAATTATAATGTTTTCTCTTCATAAAATTGGGATAATGGTGAAATATATCTTAATTTGAAAAATTGTTACACCAATTGCTTAGAAGTCAAAGAAAAAAAAAAAACTTTACATGAAATGCAAATTAAAATAATGGAAGTGCATTTGCTTCTACAGGTAGGAAAAAAAAAAAGACAAAAAATATAATATTCTTACTGAAAGAAATCGATTTGTTATCATTTACTGAGAACAGAATGAGATATTAAATTAAACTTGTGTTATTATTAATGTAAGTTCTAAAGTTAGCTACGTTATTACAGATTAGCTATCAACTTCAGATGACAAAAGCAACAGTTAACTTTTAACAGAGGATTAAATAATTTCTAAGAACCATTAATTTTAATGCCAGTTAAAGTAAACGCTTTGAAAGGAAGCAGTTCATGCTAGCAATCATTTCAAAAACCTGTTAAATTCAACGCTGGTACACTCACACATCAGTTATTTTTTAACTGAGTTAAATTTAACATTAAATTTAAAAAAGAATAGAACAATAAAGAATAGAACAATACATTAATAATAATTTCTTATTATTAATGTATTGTCCTATTCTTTTATTTTAATTCATTATCTCTTAATTTCTTTGCATGATGAAATCTTAGATGCATATTAGAGAGGATATTTTGCAATTGAGATTGCTCTAATCAATATAATCGCAATTGATCACAAAGTTTAAAATTAGAAGTAAAAAAAACGATCTTGTGTTTGCAGATATTTCAATCCATACATTCCAATGCTTGATGTGAAAAGTGACGCTTTGAAGAAATTAAATGATTTTTAATTTTTCCATGTATGCCGCATTAAACTACCTAAAACATAAATTTAAAAGATAAAAGTAATTTTCCTTTTCTATTACGTTTAAACTATTTGCAGTGTTGTTACTATTTTTGATGAACATGCTGATATTTTTCCATTCGTTATTTACATATAGTAGATTCCATCACATAGGATGGACTCTTAACAATGGACCTGTGTAGTGTTTAGTAAGAGTTCAGATTCTATTTATGAACTGAAGTTTCATCTCGTACAATGTTGAGTTTGGCTATAATCCCAGACTTTATCAATGAAATGGATATTTTCAGTGGAGCCGAAGAGATGTGGAAAAAAGCACAGCAGTCGGTCATACAACTTTAACCATATACTTAAATGTTTCGAGTGCAAAGCGATTTATTCTTATTCATGGAATGACCATGCACAATTTAATTGCACATAATCATTCCTCCGTTTACAAATAACAATCCATAACTTTATCGTAAGACGTTACGTGAGTGGAGCAGATATCAAAGTTTTTTCGTTCTGAATTAGATGCTTTACGAGACACGTTGCATGACTCACATAAACGAATCTAATAGACACCACCAAGGAATGTGGAACAACTAAAAACTTCTATGTCAGTTGAGAGTTTTGCCACTATAACTGATGAAAGAACTTCACCAAGAGAATAAATATTAGTTGCACAACTTGCATGAGTATAAAAGGTAACTAATGTCTTGGTTAATTAATCTTGCTAAATTTATGTAAAGATTTATATACCATAAAAATAAAGAAAGGCTAAAAAGTAACGCTTTTACTTTTAAATAAAGACTTATGATTCAAACACATTTATTTTCTGTGTTTTTATAAATAAAAGAAAAACCCATTGCAAACAGTGTTGATTCTTTTGTTTTCATAACAATGGAAATCGTACCAAAAACGAATATTTTAAAACTAAAAGTTTATTGAAATTTCCCTTTTTTATGTAATATAAATCTAATTATACACACTTACCAAGTTTGTTCTACTACGATAAAATGTTCGGAAATATAACAATTATGCAAATTTATAGACATAATATTTTATATATTATTAATTTAATTAATTATTAAAACGTGTTATTGATCTATTATTAATTCCAACAATACAAATTACTATTGCTACAAGTATTCATACTTTCGATGGCGAAAATATTGTATAATACAAATTCAATAATTCTTTGCTATTATGTACAATTCTATGACTTAATTTGAATACCAAAAAATTATTTTTTAAAGTATTATTCGTACAACGTGTATTTTAATAATAAGTAGAAATCAAAATGCAAAAAAGAAAACAATTAAAAAAATTTTCCTGGCATTGTAAGGACCTATTTCATTATAATGCAATTTTTTATGAAATGTTATAATCGCAAACATCACGCAACCAATCCTTTCATTAAAACTGAAATAAAATTAAATTAATCTAGTGTATAATAGGTTTCTTTACTTAATGATTGCTATAGAAAACAGTTGATGTTTTTAAAAAAGTATTGAATATAAAAGGGCTCCACTGTATGATTTCTGACAGTCTACTGCCTGGCATCCTCGTTAAACTCATATTAATCATCCTTGTGAAAAAATACTTTTTAAAAAATATAGTAAAAGACGGTAAACGAGGTGTACATTGATAAGAACTGATTGCTGCCATTTAAACATGAGATCAGTAAGCTTTAATAAAAGATATCTACAAAAGCCAAAGTCTAATGACGATGACTTTAAACGCACTATGAAGTCCATTCTGTTTCTATTTTTTGTGTGTGGTTTGCATTCTAACCAGCATAAGAAAATCTATCAGATCATAAATGCTGCTGTTTACAATTTAGTGTGTTTCTATATCGCGGCTTTCGACACAATTTGTGTTTATTATACACTACGTTGGGCCAAATTCTTTTTGCTTGTAGCAAGAATGATTCCTTTATTGCTCTGGTGGTTGACTTACAAAAAAAAAGAAGCACATACTTGCTTTAGTCAAAGAGCTGGAGTGTTTCAAGAAAAGGTGCGACTTCGCCAAGATTTTAAAGTTGTCCAAGTTGGTGAACTTCGCTGCAATTTTAACGCTTTTTCTGCGTCCCGCGTTTTGGACAGTATGCTATTTGCTAGTCTCTGATGAGGTCTTCTTATACTTTTTTGAATCATTTCCTAGATTACAGATAATTTTATTTTTTGTTAACAGATTTGTACTTATCTATTCTCATGCACTCATAACATATTGTGTAGCCGTTTTCTACATTTCTTATTGCTATATTTTGAGGATATGCCTCGAAAATAAGAATATATTCAATATTTCTGGATATCAAGTGTACAAAAACATGCTACATATTTTCAACAGACTCGAAAGCCTATTTTCTCTGCCTATATTTATTATTTTCATTTTAAGCACCTTAGATTTTCTTAAAGTATTATACACGGCTTTTACGATGATGAAGATTAAAATCCATACCAACATTGCAAACCTTTTAATCAGTATTATAATGTTAATAGCTATAACTATTTCTGCAGAAAATGTCCAACGAAGAGCCAATAAATTTCGCATATATTTTATGACAGTCGTTAATTGCAAATATTCAGCAAAAATCTAATGGAAAATGGGTGAAAAATGCTTGAAGATCGTGAAACTTTGAAAGTTCACTGTGTGGGAGTTGTTTGTTCTTCGAAAACCTGTTCTTCTTTCTATGTTCGCATGGCCATTTGCTTATGGTTTAATACTGGTAGAATATCTTTCAAGCAATTAACGTGTAAAATTAGCTTGTAGAAATTACGTGGCACCTCAGTATATGTCCTTTATTCGTTACAGATCATTTTGGACTTATCTCACACAAGATGTTTAAAAAAGCGAACTTTTCATAAAAAAGTATAAGGAAAATTATCAAATAGACCCTTCAAACAAACCAGTTTTTATTTTATTATTATAAATTAATGGTTTGCATAAAATATTTAAACACTGCTTAATACTAAAATACGTAAATACAAAAACAGTTAGATGAAATACATTTGCAGATGAAAATTTACGTATTTTAATATTTTCTTCTCTGTCTGTTTTTCTCTTCTTGAGAGTGGTGTTCTGATTTGATGTTTACTAGAAACGTATCCCGAATAACTTTGTTTCTGCCTTATCCTAATGCTTCAGAAATTTGACAATATTTGCTTTTTGCTAGAAAATGCTATTATGGCATCATTGCAAATTGTAGAAGTTGTACTTTATTGCAAAGATTTTAAGATCCATCTTTATGTGCTTTATTAAATTTTAATTAGATTTTTATCTTTACTAGATTTTGATGTTCTGGAAGGAGTCGTGTTCTGAACATGCAGAAATGTTTCATAATAAATAAATGTCTAATGTGGGAATATTTGTTGCTTTTTAAAAATTTATTTGTAAGTGATATGTTGTTGTTGTTGTTGTTGTTTCTTATCCCACTTGGCTGGCCAAGCCCACGAGCCCATATAGACTCTCATGATTGAAGGGAAGGAAGCAGCTTCTGTTGTGATGGAGCACACCCGTAGGTAGAAGCCTGACTTTTTGCTCCGTGACGCTCTTACAGTCATAGAAGACCGGGACCTACAGCTTAAGTGGATTCCGAACCACTACAAACATCCATGGCACCGCCGGGTTCGAACCCGAAACCTGTGGCACCGAGCGCCAGAGCGCTAGACACTCGGTCATTCAGGTCCCCAAATTTGCCAACGGCACGCGGTGTTCCCAGGTGGTCACCCACCCAAGTACTGGAAACCGCGCCCAATGATGCTTAACTTCGGTGATCTAACGAGAACCGGTATATTCAGCATGGTACGGCCGTTGGCTTGTAAGTGATATAACGTTATTATTAAAGTTGTTTAATCTAAAATAATTCTTTAACTAATTTTTCGTACAATCCAAGAAGTAATTTAATCTTTTCTGTGGGCATGATACCAACACTATTTTTCATGTGTAAAATACACACTTCTTTAATTTGTTCACATTTCTTAAAGAAAAAGACCATGAACATGTATTATAACGAATTTACAGTATTTCGAATCTGAAATAACTAATATGTTTACTTTCATTAATTAAGTAATTGAATATGCATAGATTACTAGTCTTTCGATCTTATAAATGAACGTTATTTTAATTTTGTGGTCTCAAATTTGTGCATAAATTTTCACAAATTTAGGTTGGGATTAGGTAGATTATCTACAAATTTTCAGTATTAATCATAAGAGAAAAAGCTGCACTAAACTTTCTTATTTAATGAATTAGTAATTTAAAAAATGATAATATGCGTGAAATTATTAAAAAATATTAATAATACTTAAAGAAAGTATTTATTTGTTACTAAATATTGGAGTTGTTTTTAAGAATTTAATACCGAACATTTTAATGAAATAATAGAAAACGTTTGTTTTAAGAAATGCTATTAATTGTTCATCAAAATTAATTCATAAAAAAGAAGAAATAAACAATTATTTTTAATGATTTATTAAGAAATAAATGGGTATTAAACTACTTGTTAAAAGGAATAAAAACATTAGCTAAGATTAGAAAAAAATTAATACTATACATATCATATAATGTTGATTTTCTAATTCTCTGCCTAGTAAACCTTTCTTAAGGAGTGAATTAACAATCCTTTATTCAGAACTGATAGTCAATTTTATTTTGCACAAATCGATTAGGCCAAGTGTTAGTCATACACTTGTTGTTAACATCCATATTGATTTTGTGAGAATATTAAATGTAGTGTAAATGAGAAAATATTAAAAGCGTATTGATTCCTTATAGTTTTGTAACTTAATTGATTTTATATCAGTCTTTCAAAGCAAATTAGTTTCCTTTATATTGCAGAATTATTTGACAGCCAAATTGTATCTATTATGCTTCACAATTAAAATAGAACTTACATTAATCAATAATACCCTTTTTCAATTTATTGATGCGAAATTTGTTAACGCCACCTCAAACAGATGTAGGGTAAGAACGAAATCTAGCTGAGCTTTCCATAAAATAAAGCAGTGTTTCTAATTATGCATACAAAAAACACAAATAAGACTCTAAAGATGAAAATCAAAAAGATTTTCAATCCTATCATGATTCTTTTCTTGCTGAGTTGTTTGGAACCCATTTACTCAAACAAGAAACGTTCCAGAATCCTTTTGATAATCTTTCACGCCATCTTCTTAGAACTGTTTGCTGTTAGGATGTATTGTTTGATTTCAGAATTCATTGTGGGAAGACTTCTCAGTTTAATAGAGAAAATTATTTCCCTGGTTATGTGGTGGTTCGTTCGAATGAAAATGGAAAAAATAACTGACTTGGTGGAACAACTCGAAAATCTCAAAAAACGTGTTGCCTTTCTAGAATCCCAAAGGATTATGAAAATTTCTAAAATCTCTGTGGCTGTTGTTATTATGGTGATGTGCCTTGTTCCAGCCATACGAACTTTGTATTATACGTTGTCGTCAAATGACAGGTATTCTTGCATATCCAAGATGATGTACAATTTGAAAACAGTTGGATTAATCAGTAGTTTTATTTATGAATTAACTAATACTTATGTATACACTGTACCATCTTATGCTGTATGTGTCTTTTACACTATATATTGTAAAACGTTTTCAGTTTTACTTCAGTGCAACCAGTTGACTACATCTCAAGCAGTTCAAGTCAAAACAAAATGCGTTGAGATTTTCAAAAACTTCGAAAACACTTTTTCTTTTTTGATACTGGTTGTTTTCACTTTCCTCTTGTGCAGTTTCTTCAAGATCATATTCCTGTTTGCTTATGGAATAAAGATAGCTTCATATCCACTTAATTACTTATATCTTATAGATTTCACTTCGCATTCAGTTCTGGTGATTGCCATGGTACTTTCGGCAGACAACATCCAGGAAAGAGTGAACCATATTAATCTCATGTTTGAGCCGAACAGTGCGATGGATTTCAGCAAACAATACTTGGATATACTCAAGAATCGAGCATCTCTGTCTCTCACTGGCTGGGGAATGTTTACTGTTCGAAAACCTTTACTTCTTTCTCTGTTAGCTTGGCTATTCACTTATGCAGTTATAATACTACAGTTCTTTTACACACCTTCCAACTAAGCAAACGTTTTGCAATCTAAACTTTATATTTATAATCGAACATCTTAGTCTCCCACTGGCTTGGGAGGTTTACAATTTGAAAACCTTCATTTATTTATTTTTTTTCTAGGGTTTCGCTGATTCACTTATGAAATTTTATAAATTTAATTGTTTTATAACCTTCCAATGAAGCAAACGTTTTTTAATACACACTTTATATTCAGCCAGTCAGATTAAAAACGCTTTTTTAATCGCAACATCAAGAATCAAATTCGCTAATAGCTGGGCAGCAACTTCGACAAAATTAACCTATCAATTATCGCATGGAAAATTAGCAAGGAGTCAATTTAAACAATGTACAAGGAAAATATATAAAAATATGTGCAACACAGAAAAAAATTAAAAAGAATTATGATGCATTGATACTGAATATTTTCTTTTTATTACTATTATAAATTGCAAAGATATGTTATTCATTAAAAATTGTTATTAATTACGCATAATGTTATTTTTATTATGTTATTCATAAGCGCAATACAATTTATAGGATGCCATGCTATTAAAAATTAATAAATAATAATAATTCAAACAATAATTTAAATTATAATTGTTTGCAGAAAAAGAGATAAACATACATTAACAAAGAATTGAAATGGAATGAACGACTTATAAATAACGTATAAAAAACCCCGATTCAAAATAATTCAGAATACATTGTACCACGGAACACATTTGCTTCGAAGACTTTCACAAGAATATATGAAATAACATTGAACTTGTAAGTGTCAGCAAATTAGCATTTACCATCTTCTGTTGTTTCTCTTTTGTTTTAGTTTACATTATTAAAAACGAAACAAAAAACATTTAAAGATCTTCTCAGTATTGATTTATAAATTTATCTTTTTTTTTTATCAACTGAGATTGAGAGGGCTGTGAAAAAATATAATTTAAAATTATTTATACTATATAAAATTTGTGAAATATATATATTACTAACCTCTTATAAATAGTCTTCAGCCAAATAAAGCCACACGAAAAAAATATATGAAACAGGCACTACATAAAGTTAAATTTAAAATAAATAACCAAAGCAGTTTCGATATATTTGTCATTCATGGAATTAATATTATCTCTTAAATCTTTATGTTTATCCGACATATAACTTAGTAAAGTTTTGCTTTCAGAGAAAATTCATATCATACTACTAAGGAAATATTTTATCATTTAATGTTATATTACAATTTTCTTTTTCAGCAAAATTTTCCACGTTTTTCTTTTTTGTGTATGTAGATGCAAGTTTAACAAAGTAAATATTTTTTTATTCTATTATATATTGTTACTTTTCTTATTTGTAACAGAACATCATAACGTTTCAATTTTTTTATTGTATTAAAATATATTACACAATACTCAATGCTTACAAAATGCTCAACACTTACATAATACATTACTAATGATTTTATTGAAATAAAATACATAACAATAATTTGTTATATAGGGAATATTTGATGTGCATTTTAAAGCTACATGTCAAAAAACGGTTCAAAAACAATTTAACTCATGCAGAATATATTACATTGTTGAAAGAGGCATAATAGAAATGTATCAGAAGTAATTTAAATTTTAGATTTAGAACATTTCATCCTCCATTGTTAGAATAAATTCCACATAGAATATAAAAAAAAAACATAATTGCTTTAATTCCATTTGTTATTAGAACAAGACAGATAAGTTTTTATTTCATAAATGCATCACTTTTGTCATCAAATAGGTAAGCAATGCAGTATCGATAAGTCGATTGTTCACAATTTTTAATGGTTTACATCGGAGGAAACTCGTCGTTTTATGGCATAAAGTGTAGTGCGTTAAAACATATTCATTGATTCGCAACCTAGGAGACGATCTACACACACAATCAAGACATCATTTGTTATAAAATATATGCCGTATAAATAAAAAAAACTAAAACTGCTTAAATTCTTTTATCACTAATAGAATTAAATTCGTGATTTCGGACTATATTTTTAAATCGATGCGCTCAATTCTAATTTCTCTAAAACGCTGATATCAATGATAATTTATTGCAGATAAGTAATTTATGTGTTATATTGATATTTTTGCTATAAGTGTGTTATATATAAATTGCAATTGAATTGCTAAAATAATAAAAATTCAAAACACAAAATTATAAAATAGTGATTAATTACTAAAATTTAGTGAGTATATAGTTTTCAAAAAATTACAGAACATCACAAACTCGTGCTGATATGCTGAAATGCATAGATTTTGAAATACTAAAAACACCACAAAATGTGCGGGCTGATAAGCACAAATTTAATTAAGCAGGTACTTTCCCTAGTTCACTAGAGATAAAGGTATATCTGCAATAACGATTTTCTACCAACAGCAAGTAATCTCAATCTCAGGAACTAAAAATCAAGCTGTGGTATGCCTCTTTATGAAGGAAGTTTAACAATGATATTCACGCATCTTTATAAAGCAGTATTTAAAAAAGAATTATATTTTCCTTCCGGGTAAGCAAAAAGGGTTTGTTTGAGTATTTAAATAAAAAACTCATTCATCTCACAAACAATTTCTGTCTTTAATTCTTTCAAAAGTGTTATAAACATATTAATATATCGCATTTGAATTAAATTTTCATCGTGCTTTAGTTAACCAAATTCAAACTTTATCATTAGAAGCATTCTTTGCACAACAATATTTGTTTCCTACTATCATTC